CCCCCCCCCCCCCCCCCCAGCTGGTTTTTCGGCTACAATGAAGGCAGCAATGTCTCGAGAACGGACAAGCTGAGTGGCTGATCGGGGCTTCGATGAAAAGGTTTCGACCTTCTGCATCACCTCCTTCAGGATGTTCTTCTGCACAAGCAACACAGCATAAAGATATAGATACGGTTAAATGGTACAACCGAGGCTCGACTTTTCATTGATATTGGGGTCGCGCCGGCGGTGGCGGATGGGTTAACGGGACAGTAAGCAGGAACGGGTGACGTTTTGGGGGGTCGACATCAGGCTCTGGGGAATCGAAGTGAATATTGGGCAACGCATTAGGAGGGGGGCGAGAACAACTTTAAGCCTGAGTCGTGTTTTCCAATGCAACATAGACTACGTCATTTGGAGATGTCCGATCTGCCTCGCAAAGAAAGCGCAGTGTCTCCAGCTGCGAACAAAGCTGTGGTTGACATAGGCTCTGATAACACGTGCAGACCGAGGGCATCATCGGCGTGGGTCTGATACTCACCAGCTGGTCTTCTGCCTCTTCGCGGTGGGGTCTTGCTCATCATCCGATGAATCGAGCTGGACCGTGAAGGGTGTGTGGAAGACGTCTTGTGGGTCCACGTCTCTCTTGAGCTTCTGCAGACGCCGGTACAGTTCGCTATCGCCGTAGTAGCTCTCCCACATTTTCTCCATTTTGATTTCGCCGAAGGAGCCCCATGTCATCCGGATATCTTTGCCTTTGCTGAAGCACGGAAGCAGCGCTCCGAATTTGTTGTGAAGTTTAGTCGCGATATCCTTGCCACCTTCTTCGTAGAAGACATCGAACACGATGCCGATGACGTTGTTGCGGTGGGGGATTGACGTGATGCCTTTCGTGCCGTTTTCTTCGTAGGCCCCGCCTCCCATCACCATCTGGAACACCAGCTTAACCTCGCGTGTTGTGATGGCTTCATGGACGAGGTCGATGAATTTCTCGACGAACTCGTCGGTCAGTGCATCGGTTGTGCAGTTCAGGCGCTTCACATAGGGGAACTTGTACTCGCGCCCGTCCCTTGTCATCCCAGTGTTGCGCACGAAAGCGTTGCTCATGAATGACAGTGTGCGGGGGGATCTTAGATCGAAGTCGTTGGACGTAGGAATTTTCGGCAACAGCATCCAGGGCTTGGCGTTTGTGATCTTGGTGATTTCGTCCTCCATTCGTTCAATATCGCTGGTCTGCAAAGGAGTATCGTCGACGTTACCGTGCACCATTTCCACCAGGATAACCGAGGGTTTGAAAGTTCCTCCCATAAGGTCGCCACTGTTCGTCATGGCTGAGATCATCAGATCGCAGTCTTTGGACAGTGACCCATCAGTCAACGGACCTGAGCGGTCTTGAACAACCTGCTGGGTGCGCCTCTGCACCACACCCATGGCCTCCTCGAAACGATTCTTCGAGTACCGATACACGCCATTGTATCCCCGTGAAAACCGGTGGGCCGCATCCCTAATACACTCGAACTCGATCTCGGTGACGACGCCAAAGCTTCCCGGTCCACCGCCCAGAACGCCCCAGTAGATGCGGTCCTCGATGCTCGATTTCTCGTCCACTTTCTTGGAGGGTCGCTTGATGGTGTGGTTCGACACGCGGCCGTTCAGGTTAAGCACAATCTCGAACGAGTTGACGTGGTCGAGGGCGAGGCCGTAGCTGCGCAGGAGATGACCGAAACCACCGGTTTGGACATGACCACCAATGCAAACTTCAGGACACTCGCCGTGTGGGATGGTAACCCCTTTCTTCTTCATCTCTGCTGCCAGGGTAGTAAGGCGAGCGCCGGGGCCCAGCCGAGCCATCACTTTCTGCTGCGGGGCATCGAAGACGGTGACGTCATGGAGGAAGTCCATGCTCAACAACATGGTGTCTTCACCGCCGGACGACAGCCCGCAGTACTGATGGCCACCGCTGCGAGCGACGACCTTCTTCCCTTTGTCGATAGCATACTTCACAAACGCGACCACGTCGGCCTTGCTCTCGGGATAGCCAATGACGAAGGGGTGCATGCGCTCACGATCTTTCTCGTCCGTGTACGATGTGGTGGCGTACTGAGTCGTCTTGTTCTCGTACTCCTTTTCCGTCTTATCGAATACTTCCCCACCGAAGCCCGGGATATCGTAACAGACGGTCTTTCCCTCGTTGACAGAGGGCGGAACCGCAGGCAAGTCTTGAAGCTGTACAGGGGGCTCGCGCACGGAGGGAAGTAAGCCATCGAAGTCTCGATGGAGTTTTTTGTCGTCCGGCGTCTGGAAGGAGGGGGAAGGTCCGTGCAGCGAAACGGAGACCGCGAGGCTACCCTCTTTCTCGACACGCAGAGAAGATGACACCTTCACGCTAAGTTCTTGGGTGGGGCTGGAGCCGAAGACCTTATCGACGGCAGTGAAGTAGTCGGAACATTGATCGGGCGTTGTGACTACACCGGCGTAATGCGTGCGGTGCTCTTCATACAGGTACTGGCTTGTCTGGCCCTCCTCCGCGACAGCCTGCACGATTTCCACCCCTTCCGCCGAGGCCTTGTCCAACATGAGCTCCTCCACGTACTGTTCTTTCTCCTTCAGCTCTTGTATCATCTTGTTGATAAACTCTGAAGAGCCCTCCTTGCACATTGTCGTCACCGTGAACATTGCCATACCGTATGCGCCGCTGAAGACGCGTACGACACACCGAGTCGAGGGCCCAGGTTTGTGAGAAATGATGTGGTCCACCACATGCTTGAAGTGGTCTGTGGTGTACACGAAGGTCAAGCGCGTCATCTTGTATTGTTTAGCGGCGTCCGTAGGCAGCGCTATGAACACCACATTGGTGATGACGTGATTCTTCGCCTCGGTCGCGTCCCTCGTGTCGACGGGCTGAGCACTCTCCTTCGCGACGTACTTGTAGCTCTCCGCGAACGCGCTCAGGAGGTCATGATGAACGAGGTCGTTTACGGTGGACAGGGCGTTGGAGAGGACGCTTTTGTTCGGATTCCCGTCGAGGGGCAGGAACAGTTTTTTTTCCGTGAGCTTGACGGCCAGGTCATACGTAGTGGCGCCCGCACCGACAGTTACTCTTTCCCCGTCGATCTCCACCGCGGCGAACTTGCGAAGGTTCACGACTACAGCGGCCGTGCCATCGACGCGTCCACTGTCAGCAGCATGCCGACCGCTGCGTACCAGCAACGGGACGTCGGGTTTGTAGTTCAGCGCCTCGTGCACCTCGGCACACGTGGTAGGGTAGAGAACCGTGTGCTCGCCACTCACGTCACTTTCTTTGCGATGCGGATCGATGCTTGAGCTTACAATACGCATGTTTGGCTCTGCAGGGGAACAAACATGAACACGTACAAGGGGAAACGGTGGATCATGACATTAGCACAACAGGAGATTGTTCATTGAGCGTCCATCTACGTTACACCCTGTACCTATAGCTGAGCGTGATAGGTAGAATAGTCGATAAAATGCGGAAATGGCGGCCATGTACGGCGAACGCATAGCACAGTGTGTGCCGTTCTCAGGATTGAGCACCTATCGTGCGTAATGGGGTGTGCACGTGACGTTGCTACTGCTGCTGTCGTATAAATTGGTGCAAGTAGTGAAGGGTAGTGACAATCCACATTCGTTTTTATTTGGGACTCTGGTATGGTACAGGGCATCGACTAGACTTCGTCGTCGTTGAAAAGCTCTGTTTCAGGCGCATCGACTGGGCGCAATACATATATTTTGGTAAGTTTAAAAGGTCCAGAACAAGCACCTTCGAGATCGCTTGTGACGTTTAGTTATGTCTTATGATAGTGCCTCGAAAGGATTGGTCGTGGTTTTTCAAACACCTGAGTTGACCGTATCACCCCGATGGGCACCTGCTGATTCAACCTGTGTTTTATTTTGATCCTGTGATGTTATCTCAAATCCGATCGCACTGCTAAACGTCGAACTCACTGAACTGAAATCGACCGAGCAGGAGTAAATCTACGCGGTGACCCAACGAGCAGACCAACTATCTCTAGTGGTAACTATTGTACCAACCGAACAACACAACTCCAGCATATGTGCGTACATGTGCTGCCACAGCAGCAGTACAGCAGCAGTCTCTTGCAGGGCTGCTGTTTTCTGTGACATTGACTAGTGGAAAAATGGCATTCCGGTGAAACTCCATGTAGGCACAACACAAAATATGTTTGGTTGCGTGTGTGTCCAAGTTGCAGCGTTGGGTGGACAGGTTTGGTGGCAGCGCATGAACCCTACCTACCCTGTGGAATTCTGCCGGCCCTCAATATATTACATGCAAGACGTGAAAAAAGCCGCGAGGTTGAGGCAAGAGTTGTCTTATTTTTGCAAGGAAAACCAAACCAAACCCACCTCTATCGGTGGATAATGGTCCAATCGGGGTGCGCGATGGCTTGTATGACAATGCAAGTCTTAACGAAGTAGGACAAACGATGTCGTGCGGATGGAGTTTGGCATGGTGGAGCAGCTAAGCACTATCGGCCCTTGAGCTGCGTAGCCCCCGTAGGTGGGAGTTTCTCTGAATCCACTGGTCCGATCGGCGTGCCTGATGGCCTGTATGATAGCTGTGGGACGTGCCAACACAATGAAAGCCGTCGTAGAGCAAACAGCACCATTTACATAGAGTTTGGCCTGATGGAGCAGTTTAGCTTATCTGCTCCAACGGCCGGTGAGCCACTGAGCCCCCGTGGGTGGGCGTTTCCCTTGTTCACCCACTGGTCCGATCGGGGTGCGCGATGGCTTGAATGATAGCTGTGAGCCGTGACGACACAGTGCAAGCCTTAGTAGGACAACCACCACCCTTAACATAGAGTTTGGCCTGGTGAAACAGTTAAGCTTGTGTGCTCCACCGGCCGCTGAGTCACCGAGCCCCCGCGGGAGGGCGTTTCTCTGCACCCACTGGTCCGCTTGGGGTGCACGATGGCTTGAATGATAGCTGTGAGCCGTGCCAACACAGGAAGGAGTGGTTTCGCTATGAGGCGGGAGATATACCGGGACAATAGATATTTTCCTCACGCAAGGAAGTAAGCACAAGATGCCGAGCACCCTTAGCAGGATGCAGCGCACCCATGAGACTCGCCGAATATTTCACGGCGCTTCGCGCTTGGTGATGTGAGAGCCTGGTCCGGTGAGAACCCGGCGTGCTCCGTCCCGGCTTTGTAGGGATGCGAGGTCAATGGTCTAACGACTACGGCATGCACGACAATGAGTAAACCCCCCCCCTCCCACAACTGCTTGACGTTCCCCTCCAGGCCTCTGTTGGCCTTCTGCACTACTTCGTCCCAAATGGACTTTTCTTCTTTTTCACTAGTCCCTTGACCTGTTTTCTCTTGGCCCTGTACTTTTCCCAACTCTCCTCAGAAGCCTCACTCAGTACTGCTTGAAGACTTATCTACGTTCCCCTATTTCTTTTTTCAGCTCATCCCACCACTTAATTAACCAATATCCCACATCGTACCACCTTCTTTCCCACTACTCTCTCTGCCGTTCCGTTCACGATGGACTCACACCCTTCAATTGGTAGAGCACCCTCGAGGCAGCTACATAGAGCTCAAACTATCTCTGAAGTGAAACGACCAGAAAAGCACCAGAAAATAAACTAGGTCATACGCAGCTGTTATCCGTGCGCAAGTAAGCACAAGATGCCGAACATCCTTAGAAGAAGGCAGCGCACCCTTCATGCGACTCGTCGAATACCTCACGGCGCTTTGCGCTTGGTGATGTGAGAGCCTGGTCTGGTGAGAACCCGACGTGCTCCGTCTCGGCTTTGTAGGGATGCGAGATAAATGGTCCGACTACGGCATACACGACTACAAGTACACCCCCCCATTGATGCTGCGGAACCCTCTCTGCTAACAACATATCTGCGGGAACATGTTTGATGGGAGTGTCCGATAGCTTGGAAGAACGGTATGGACCGTGCGGACACGACGAAAAAGGTTTGAGGCCAATGAACGCTGTGTGGACGGAGGTTCCAGACGATTACTGCTTCCTGACATGCTGCGGAGTCCCTCCCCCCTTGCGCATATCTCTTCAGCCACCGGTCGGATTGAGCTTCAAAGTAGCATTGCAGAAAGCTGTAGTCCATCGCTACACGATGCAATTGGTTTGAGGTCGATTGGAGCTCTGAGGGTGGAGATCTGCGTGGTGGAGCAAATAAGGGGTTACTCCACGGATGGAGCAAATAGCATTGCCAAAATTTGCAAAAATTAATCAGGGAGGAAACATTTCGCTCTTTTTCTCGTTTGGTGTATTTCGAGAAGCAAATGGACGAATCACACTCCATTTATTGCAGCAGATCCGTCGGGAATAAAGGAAAATTCGCGTTCTTTCGATCTTGAAAATGAATGTACGGTGAGATAGTGACCAGAGACAGCGTTTCATTCTGGTTAGGGATTTCGGACGTCCCTGGTTCAGTATGTTGTAGGGAAGACATTGGTAATGCTGAACCAGCAGAATGTTGTGGCCGCTTGCTTCCTTTGCGGCCACGACGCCATTTTCCTTTTGAAAATTTACCAATTCTTCGAGGAGTAGATAGCTTTCCCGCGAACGCAGTTTGGGCTAACCACTGGGCTACTGCTGTGACAATGCATTCGAAAACTAGTATATTTGGGCCAAAAGACTCCAAGAAGTGCAAAAACACTATTATCCGTGGTAAGTCCGCATGGATGGTTTTGTGTATGTCTGCGTAGATTTCTATACACACCATGGCCGGCCTATGGACAGCGCTTACGGGACATGTGCGTGGGTGCCCACGACGCTAGCCAGACCGTCGGCAGCCCATCATCATGGACACTTTATTTGCCTATGATCGCCGGATGCTTCAATGCGCGAGTGACCGTGTAGGGTTGCCCGTGGGCTACCAAATTTGGTCGCCCACCATGGGCATGGGCCGCCCACCAATGGGCAGAGCCCAGTACGGGGCACTAGGCACTGTCCATTGGTTGCGAAGGTGTCAATGGGTCCCCATCGACAGCCCATGGGTAAACCCATGATGGGCAGTTGCGTAAGTTCCCACCATCGGCTGCCCATGGGCCCACGATAGGCACCTGCCCACCATGATGGGCAGTCGCGTGAGTGCCCATCATGGGCTGCCCATAGGTCGCCCACCACGGGCATGGGCCGCCCATGGGCAGCCCATGATGGGCAGTTGTATGATGAGTGCCCACGGTGGGCTGCCCACGGTGGGAGGTCGCGTGAGTGCTCACCATGGGCGGCCCATGGGCGGCCCATGGGCAGCCCATGATGAGCATGCTCATGCTAACCCATGATGGGCATTTCATCGGCCGCCCATGGGCAGCCCATGGGCGGGCCCATGGGTCGTTTGGGGAACTGTCAGTAGTGTGGGAGATTGGACATGGTGCGTGTGCGCTGTGGCTACACGCTACACACACCCTCACTACCACACACTCTGCTGCTGTATGTAGTGCGTCTCCCTTTCGTTCCCGGCGAAAAGCGGGGGAGCTAGCGGCCGGTGTCGTGCGCACAGCTGTTTGAAAAACTACACCCGCCCGAGATCCCCTCCCCCCCAAAAAAAAAGATATACGAACGACGTTGTTATTCCTCCGTTTCATCGAATTACGTTTATTTTTTGCCGACATAGGTTTTTCCTCCACCCACTAAAAAGACTACCACATCTCGTTGGAATGTGGGTATGTCTCGAACGGGTAGTCTTTCTATGTGTGTATTAACTTTTCCGTATAATCTTCTGGCTACCTGCCGCACGCACTGCATACAATAGCCAGCCGCGGTTAATTGTAGGGCGGCTACAGAGACATGCTCCGCATCCCACCAACACACACCAACACAAGAACTTCTACGGTCTCTGACTCCCACAACCCTCTGGCAGAGAAGATAGCAATAATTCTGCTGCTGTGGGCAGTCGAATATTTTTTCTGCATTGTTTGCTTGCACACAACGTGCTGCAAGAACCACCGTACGGAATGACTTGCGCTGCTTTCCCTAGCCTCCCGTACTCAACCAACCCCGATTAGCACAACCGACTGCTGTACACCGGATCACATACGAAGTCCACACACCCTAGAGGGCTAGAGGGGGGGGGGGGGGGGGG